TGAAGCTACATCAAGAGGATAAAGCGGCAAGCAACAATAGCAAACCCAACGTTATGATGGCAATACAGGACTTGGGAAACAGGACGACGACTCAACGTTCGTTAGTAACTGGTTTCGAAACAAAACGGCCAGTAATAAATGAATGGATGGGAAACGCGACACATAAGTGTTTGCATGTGTATGTGTGCTAGCGAGGGTGGGTGTGTGTGTGTATGTGGTACAGCATTGTGTATTGAACATAAAGCGTAGGTTTGTTGCTTTTTAATTAATAGAAAAGTCCTTTGTAAAGTAATAAATAAATATTATGTTTTTTGTGGTTGCAAAAATACCAAAGAGTCGAATCCAACCAAGCCAGCCAAACAAGCATTGAACAGCACCATACACACATACGAAATATAAATACATATGTAGATAGGTATCTGAGTGGTGGCTCTGGACAGGGAATAGAAACTTTTTTCACACACACACAGACAACAAAAAATACATACACACATATGGAAATGTTGTAGACCCTGTGTGTGAATATGGATGGGTGTTTAAGTCCTTTTTAATCCGAAAAGGAGATGTATTGTAACAAATGTACGTAGCACAAATAAATAAAACCTGGTCGAACATATGAAAAGCTGACCAATTTTTTTTTTTTTTTTGGTGTTTTCAATGTTTTTAGAAGCTCCAAATGGAATTTGAATAGGCAAATGCTGGCCAAACAAAAACCATTACAAATAAAATCGCAAACAAAGCCATAACAAATAGACATTGTCATCCTTTTGTTATTGACCAAAGGACGCTACCGCCAGCCCCCAACCCAAAAACAATAACTAAGCCACAATACAAATTATGAATGAATTACATTCCAAATTAACTGAAAATTAGATGGGAGAGACAATATATTTTTGTTTATTTTGGTTAAATTCCGCACAAAGCAATACTTCCGCACCTTTGCACAATGGGCCAGTGAAAAAAAGGTAACATTGGAAACCCCTTGGTGATGCCTGTGTAAATTATAATGAATGAATGTGAACGTATGAATATTTGTGGCTTCCAACCATTGTTTTTAATATGAATCACCATATGTGGTACTACCCAGGGACAAAAAGGCCACCATGGACAGAATACACGCAGTTCTTTTTTCAACGGGGGCACAAAAAATTGTTCCCAACATGCAAGCTATAGTGGATGGCCAGGACAATTTTCGTTTCCTCCCTGCTCCCAATAATATTTATTGATTGGATGAACACACACACACACCAATACACTGAAATATTTCAGGTGCACAAAAGTATGCTTTAGTGCGGTTAGGCAATGCAATAAAATCCGCTAGTTTGGGTTTTTATGCGGTGCAGAAGCTGAATCGGTACGCCAGCACACAACAGCATGACTGACCACCATATGCATGAGAATATTATTTCCATGAATTTAAATTGAATTGTGTGAAACATGAAATGAATAAAACTATGAATATGGCGAGGGAGGGGTGCGGGGGAGGGGTTTGTGTGTGGATATGTTGTACACATATTGGCATCTGTAGATTATCGATTATAATTGGTTGCGCAAATTCGCAAAGAATGGACAGGTAGAGGTGGAAAACAATAGCTGCCAAAGTGACCTCTAATCATTCATAACGGACAAATAAATGTTTTGGTCCCAACGAGGACAAAAAAAAATAGTACAAATTGCCAACATGTTGTTTTGGCATAAATGCCAATGATTTTTATGAGATAAATATTGGATTTTCTGATGATGAGAATATCTATTGGAAATGGATTTCAATAAAGAGGCGGACAAATAAAATAATGTTTTATAAACATATGATCATATACAATGCATAATAGAAACGTTATGAAAAAAACAAAAAAAAAATGATAAAAATTGTTCCAAAGAATATATTATTGATAGCGGTATATTTTTAATAATAAAAACAAGATATACAGGTTGAGATAAAACAAGTAAAAAAAACATTAAGTTCGGCCGGGCCAAACTTTTAATACCCTCCACTTTAGGGTAAAAGAAATATTAGAAGAAATGTGGCAAAAACCATTAAAATGTCGTATATCGGGAGGTACCGTTATTTGGGGGCTATGCCAAAACGTGGACCTATAATTACAATGTTTCGCCAAACGAACTAGGACCCATTATGACCCACAAATACCAATTTTTTGTAAAATCAGTGAAAAAAATGTGTCAAAAACCATTAAAATGCCGTATATCGGGAGGTACCGTTATGACCAACAAATACCAATTTTTAGACAAATCAGTGAAAAAAATGTGTCAAAAATCATCAAAATACCGAATATCTGGAGGTACCGTTATATGGGGGCTATACCAAAACGTGGACCTATAATTACAATGTTTTGCCACACGAACTAGGACCCATTATGACCCACAAATACCAATTTTTAGACAAATCAGTGAAAAAATGTGGCAAAAACCATCAAAATAGCGAATATCGGGAGGTACCGTTATATGGAGGCTATACCAAAACGTGGACCTATAATTACAATGTGTCGCCACACGAACTAGGACCAATTATGACCCACAAATACAAATTTTTAGAAAAATCAGTGAAAAAATGTAGCAAAAATCATCAAAATACCGAATATCGGGAGGTACCGTTATATGGAGGCTATACCAAATCATGGACCCATACATGCAAAGTTTCGCCACCGGAGCTGGAAACCTTTATGACCAACAAATACCAATTTGTAGACAAATCCGTCAAAAAATGTGGCATAAATCATCAAAATACCGAATATCGGGAGGTACCGTTATATGTACCAGAACGTGGACCGATATATCTCATTTTCAATACCAACCAGACACAATAAAAATTGCTCTGCTAAATTTTGGCGCTCTACGTCATCGTTAAATCGACTTAGAAAGTCGAAAAGTAAGGAAGCCACTTAAATGAAACCCGTGTGGTACTGGCCAAAAAATGGCTCGTGAGCTGAACATATCGCAATATTCCATTCGCCATATATTGAAAAATGAGCTCGGGGTAAAGCCATTGATATTCCAAAAAGTGCAAGAACTTACACCGCAACGGAAAGAAAATAGACTCAAAAGAGCTAAGAGTTGCTTCGCTTGGCCGAAAGAGGTGAACTGCCGAATTTGGTTTTCATTAGTTGTCCAGCAGTGTGTAAACAAACAAATTGATCGTGTTTACGTGCCAAAGAGGTCAGATGAAAATGTGCACCTTCGGTTGGCCACCAGAACTCAAGCGCCGGCCACGGTGATGGTGTGGGCCGCCATAACAACCGATGATCGATCTCCGCTCTTATTAATCGACCATGGCATCTGAATAAATGGTGAATATTATAGCGAAAACATTCTGGAGGGTGTATTAAAGCCTTGGGCACACAAACATTTTGGTCGCAGACCTTGGACATTTCAACAGAACTGAGCACCATCGCACTCAGCACGCGCTACCCAAGAATGGTTACAAAATAAGGGTTCCTTGCTTCATTTCCCGCACATAATGGCCACAAAAATCTCCGGATACCAATCCGTTGGACTATTGGAGTATTTTGGAAAGCAAGGTTGGCACAAAAAAATACCAAAGTGTTCAAGCAAGCGCTTCGCCGGGAATGCACCAAAATACCGCAGAGCAATATTCGGGCAGCGTGTGACGGTTTCATTGGTCGTTTGACGGTCATAATTCGTGCCAAATGTGACCAGTTCGAACAAATCTAAACTTATTCTAAAATGTGATGCTATTTCATACATTTCTTGCTTCCATTCAATAAAATTAAAAAAAATGTAAATATTATGGGGTTTGACTTTGTTGCAGTTTTTTTTATCTCACCCTGTATTTTCTACAGAAATATAGTCGATAACAAAAAAAAAAAATTGTCGATAACAAGATTTCCTATAGAGAATATTGTCAATTAATTTAAAAAAATCGATAACATATTTTTTTTGGAAAATACTTTCGATAAAATGATTCGTGATCAAACATTTTTTCGATAACTAGATTTCCTTAGAATCTATTATCAATAAGCAGGGTTTTCATAGAAAACATTTTCGATAACAATATTATAGATACAAAATATTTTCGATAACAAAATGTTTAACAGAAAAGTTTTTAATAATAATACTTTCGATTTTGCGCAGAAAATATAAGCGATAACAAGGTTTTGTATTGAAAAAACAGCGTTAACAAAATTTCCTATAGAAAATGTCATAGATACAGGATTTTATGTAGAAAGTTTTGTCAAAAACTAGATGTTCTATAAACAACTGTCCTCAAATGTCGATTTCGCCTTGGACATTGTATCGACAAAATAATTTTCTATAGAATCCCTAATTTTCTATAAAATTCTTATTTTTAATTGACAACATATTATTGAATTATTCCTCCGGCTCTTATTTCCACAGTTATTTCATTTTGCTACAGTTTGCTTTTTATGCCCTTTAATTACCAGAATATAACTTGTTATAAAGCACACCCCCCCATTGGTCTACAATATTTTCCCTGCCATGACTCAATGTAATCCAAGTCAAAATATTTACCTTCCTATTTAATTCCGATGCCAAACGATTATGATCAGCTATCCTTTCATATTGTATAGTCCTGGTTGTTTTTTTTTTCTTTTTTAAGTTGTTTATTTTAAGAGCCTGCGTTAAGAATTGCAACAGTTTTAATCCAACCTACCTGCCTGCCTGCCAAGCTTTCACAACATAAATCCCTTTCCCTATGGTAATTTTGTAACATTGCTGGTATTAGTTTGGTTCACTTTGTTGTTTTTCCGAGCTACTTAAGCGAAAATGTAAATAATAAAAGATCATAAACCGCCCTTAATTGCTTTTAAGTGTTTAGTTAGTGAGCAAATCCTACAAAACAACTCTGTAACTCGGCTCCTCTGAGCGGTCAAGTAACCAGCAATGAGGAAGGATATACAATGAATGTCGGTTCAAACATACACACGCAAAACCCCATTCAAAATCTTGAATGGACGATTGTGGAGTAGGAGGGAGGTGGGCAATGAGCAAATTTAACTTACCAACTCCACCAAGTACGGTGCTTGGCTCCAATTTGGCTTTCTTTGTGGCTAAATCCTGATTATTATTGTCCGAAGCGGGCGCCATAACTGCTGCTTGACTTAAAAGTTCGTCACTACCACGCTGAAAAGACAGAAGTAGAAATGTAAGAAGAGAATTATAAATATTTGTTTATTTTCTGGCATTACACTGAAAATCTGAAAAAGTAAAAACAAATTTCGTTGTAAATAAAATTAAGCAACAGATTTGTAAAACCAACAATAAAAAAATGTAAAATAAAAGTACAAAAGAACGCATACCACAAAGGGAATACAAAGAAACGGAATTGTTGCCTACTTCCAGGCTGACTTGAGTGGCATTCAACAACATCCAAGTAACAACAAGTGCGTAAATAGTGGTTAGTTGTGCTGTGTGAATGGTTCCTGTTACCCCCTGCCGACTAATTAGAATAACAATTATATTTAGGAAGTTATGTTGCTCACTTCCCAAAAAAAAGTTGGTGCTAGAGGAAGGGAGAGACGCCCATGTTGTTGTTTTTGAATAAAAATTAAGGAACTAACGTCTCGACTAAGTTATGCATTAAATAAGAATGTTTTTTTTTTTGTGTTAAGTGTTTACACAAGAAACAATTGTTTCGTGATAAGCATAATAACACCGCCCCTTTCATAGCCTGGCCTAGAAAAAATAAAAACGCTGACAAAACATGGCGAGAACTTGTTGAAAGACTAGAAAACAAAAAACAATAGTTGGTGTAATAAATTGTTGATGGGTGGTTTTTGTTTTCATGGCAAATGGGAAAACAAACTTCAAACATGTCAGAAGTTTCGTTAACACCTACTAATAATGACAATCAATGGACGTTCTGTTTTCACCCCTTAGTGAATGGTATAGACAAAGTTTTGTTATTAATATTTCAGATCTAGGGGGAGGTGCTGTAGATAAAATGTAAGACAATAAATTTATGCATAAGAAATTGATTACTACAGAAATTCAAGGTAAGCCTAAAAGTATGCAGCAAAAATGTGTTATTAATAATTCTTAAGGATTGAAGCCCTGTAAAATGTTTCCGAAATATACAGGGTTTGTAAAATGACTTCTAGCCCGAGGGGATTAGTAAAAAGGTTTCCCAACCTTAAAAAACCTAAAAAATAATTTCTACCTATGGAAGAGCTGTTACTATTTCTCTATTCTCCCCGTTATTTAGATATTTAAGATTTCGGGAGAAGAGCTTCGCATAAATTCCAGGCAAGCCTAAAGGTATGCAGTAAAGATGTCTCTGCATACTAAAGTTATGTAAAATGTATTCGAGATATAGATGGCGTTTAAAATGTCTTCTAGCTGTCAAATATATGAAAAAAAGTCTTCTATAAAAGTTCTGTATGAATGGTTCTGTATGAATGGTCTTCCAGGAATGGAAGACTTAAGGAATTATTTCTAGCTAACGAGAACGCGACCTATAAGATCTCTTTGAGAACTTCAAGCCATAGAAAACCTTCAAAACGTAGTTTAGCCAAAAATTCTAAAGTTTTAGAATAACTGCAAAAGGTCTTCTAGACTTGGAAGTTCTGCAGAAAAACCTATAGCCTTGGAGAACCGAAAGAGGGGGTTAAGCCTTAGAAGAACTATAAAAGATGTAGTGGTCTAAAAGGATCTGTAAAAGCTCTTTTGGTCATAGGGGGCCTGTGAAGTAATAAAATACTTGTAAAATATATTCGCATTATGGAGGACTTGGAATGAGCTCTAGCAGGAGCTGAAATTCTTCAATATTGGAAGACCTTAAAAGGACTCTCGAAAAAAGTCGTCCAGCTTTAGAAGAGCTTTGACAGTTCTTCTAGCCTTGGAAAACCTGCAAAAGGTATGCTTGCACAAAAGGTATGCTTGTACAGGTTCTCTTACAACGCAAGAATTCGAGGGCCTCTAAAAATATACATTGTCTTCAATGTCCTTTAAATAGACTTGAAGGCTAGGAACGGGGCTCTAGCATTAGAATAAAACACAACTGAAGGGGATCTCTTTGTCAAGGCAGATAGGCTATGGACCTTAAACTTGTACTTCCACCTCAGAATTCCTGAAAAAATATCTTCCAGAAATGCAAGTCCTGCAAAAGGAATGTTTCCTAAATAACACTGGTCTTCGAAATTTTAACATCTGAATTTTGGGCTTAACTACCCTTATGTTTGGGGGGGGGGGACGAACCCGGATATTTGAGCCGAAAGTCCGTGTTTTGGCTAGACCCGACTGTGGTCAATATAAGTATCGTTTGAAAGCTAATAAGTGTAGCAAGTTATAACACAATGGAGTTTTTTTAAAATGGTTCGGGAGTTATATCAAAACTCTCGATTTTTGGGAACAGGAATAAAAAAGTCAAAAAAAAAATCGAAAAAGGCCCATTTGGATGTCTACGAAACATATTATAGTTGACACTATAATCTTTCCAAAATTCTACAAAATACGTTATTCACTTTCCTGGGTCTTTGAATCCGGTCGGTTTTAGTATAAATTTTTCTTCGCGTAGCCGGTGTTGGATATCTTCAGAGGAGGAAATCTCAAGCTCCGGCCGAAGGACGACTGCTTAAAAAATGTACAATACTTAGAAAAACAAGAAAAAAAAAAAACATTAAGTTCGGCCGGGCCAAACTCTTAATACCCTCCACCTTAGGGTAAAGGAAACATTAGAAGAAATGTGGCCACAACCATCAAAATGCCGAATATCCGGAGGTACCGTTATATGGGGGCTATACCAAATCGTGGACCTACACATGCAAGGTTTCGCCAACGGAGCTAGAACCCATTATGACCTACAAATACCAATTTTCAGACAAATCAGTGAAAAAATGTGGCAAAAATCATCAAAATACCGAATATCGGGAGGTACCGTTATATGGGGGCAATACCAAATCATGGACCCATACATGCAATGTTCGCCACCGGAGCTGGAACCCATTATGACCAACAAATACCAATTTTTAGACAAATCAGTGAAAAATGTGGCAAAAACCATAAAAATATCGAATATCGGGAGGTACCGTTATATGGGAGCTATACCAAAACGTGGACCTATACATGCAATATTTTGCCACACGTACAGGGACCCTTTATGACCTACAAATACCAATTTTCAGACAAATCCGTGAAAAAATGTGGCATAAATCATCAAAATATCGAATATCGGGAGGTACCGTTATATGGGGACTATATATCTCATTTTCAATACCAACCATCCTAGACACAATACAAATTGCTCTGCTAAATTTTGGCGCTCTACGTCAAATAATGTGGGCTGTATCGTGATTTCAACAGACAGACAGACAGACAGACGGACAGAGGGACAGACAGACTTAGAATTTTATGCTGATTATGAATATATATACTTTATGGGGTCTACGACGAATATTTAAGGATGTTACAAACGGAATGACAAAGTTAATATACCCTCCTTTCCAATGTGGAGAGTATAAAAATTGATTTGTGTAGCCGGTTTTGGACGTACTAGGAAAAGGTTGATAATCATATAAAATTTCAAATTTAGGTTTTTTTTTTTTTGAAAGGGCACCATGGTACCAAGTAAGACATTTTAGTACTTTTCGTACTAAAAAGTCTCATTTGGTACCAAATATCCGAAAATCCATTTGCTTCAATTATGCCTGTCCCCCGATTTTTGTCTTCATTGGCTTATCCAGTACAATGGATTTAATTTTAGTACCTTTACTTTAGATTGAATGTCCAAAAGCCCATTCACCCCCACCAAAAATAAAATTGACCCACATGCAAAATTTCAGAGTTTTCTCTTCGGACGTTTCGCCTGGTCCTTAATGAATCAGTCAGTCGCCCATTCATTCGATACATATTACTGTACTATTTTTATATATAAACAAATCTGCTCACTGATGACCTTCATTCCATGGCAACTACTGCTCTGATTTGACGTCCTCGCAATACATACCCTTGGGTTTGGAAATTTTTCTAATTTATCTAATATTTCAACACCAACAAAAGTACTCGGTAGGTTTTTATTCTGGTATTTGTTTTTAGTGGCCTAGTTTTCAAAAAGAAAATTTGTCGTTGCTCATTCATTGTTGCCAGGATTAATTAACTTGTGGCAAACAACAACAACAACTTGGGAAATTGTTGTAATTTCCGGTTGACATATTCTTCCGCAACTTGCATCGCCACAAACATGCATATTTTGCACTAACGAAAATCTAGATGAAGATATGAACGAGGCAAAGTAGAAAAACAAAAACGAAAACAAAAAACTCAACACAGAGTGGAAAAGTTTCAGTCAAGACAACAACAACACGGCAAAGAGTTTTAAAATAAAAACTTTTTATGGGAAATAGGAGAAAGTTTGTTTTTGTTGACTTCTTCCTCGTTGTCGCCATCGTTGTGGGCAATGATGATGACGATGACGATGACATTCATTCATACTTGTTCTCAAGAACTTGTGTTACACTTAAGAAAATGGCTTATTGGTGTTTGTTGTTGCAACTCTTTAGCATGAAAGGATTGTGTGAAACAAAAACAACAACAAAAAATAGTTCCCAACTCATTTATGCAAATACATTTTCATTTAATATATTTTCTTGGGTTAGACTTTAATAAAAATTAATTGTAATATTCCTTTAGTCACACAGTAAATTATCAAATCATAGTTGGGACGTTCTAGAGAACCACTCTTTAGCTCCATTAAAAACTTATTTCTCAATTAGTTTAAACCCTTTAAAAATTGGAAGAAGTTGTGTTACCCTCCAAGACTTGCCAGCCAGCCGTCCGTCCGTCTGCCTGTGTTTCCGGAAAACATTTAATTAAACTGTCATATTTGTTTTGCCACATTTGTTGTTCGGCCATTTTCCCAAGGAGTACAAGGGGGACCCCAGTAACATATGTTGTATTCATTCTAATTTCGTTTACTTTTAAATCCTTTTTCTCAATTAGAAGACCTTCTCCTTCGTTTTCGTCCCTAGTCGGCTTTTGTCTCGCTCCAATGAGTTGTGCTCCTTTAAAATGAGGGTCGGCCAGAACAATGGCATAGGAAAAAGCAATTTCTTGTAGACAAATACACACATTTCTTCATGTGTTTTTTTGTTGTTGTTATTTTTTTAATATGTGAATCCTAAATGTAT